GTCTGTTGTGCTCTTAAGGATCCCATAACTTGTTTGTCTTGACACAGCACCATAGCAGCTTTCTTCACAGCAGGAGTTCATGGAAAAGATCTGAGTGATCTTGAAGATTAGTTTGGTACAGTGTATTTTTTTTTTTTATTTCTATCTGGTTTGATCATCCGTTGTTTTTGAATTGCAGCTCACAATATGGCAGAAGAAACTCAAGATGAAAATGCCCCCTCTAATTTTCCATTTGCTTCTGGTTCTGTGTTCTAAATGATCAAATTCTTATCCAATTCTTCATCTTTTTATAATGTGAACTGTTTGTTTCATGAATTTTCTCTGCCTATGTGTTTTGCTTGTGCAAAGGTTTCTCATTTCACACAGAGTTTTTGGGTGATGCTGTTAGTAATATATTATAAAGCAACAAAAAGAGAAAATGCAAGGGTGACAGTTTTTAAACAATTTGTTAAAGTTGAGTGGTAGTATGAGTCTGCTTGTCTGACCAGCTGTACATTTTGGTGCAGTTAGTGCTGGGCTGCAGAGATGTGTTGGGTGAGATTTTGGACCTTTGTCCTTGTAAAAAATTATTTTAATAGAAAATGTTCCCATATGAAGCAGTGTCAGGAAGGAAAAAAAGCATTGCCTTGTTCATCAGGCAGAAGCAATAGAACTACTTTACTGTGGCAGATTTTTCTTTAAAAAAAACCCCCTTAAATAAAATCAGTGACTACATGCATTTTGGGCATTCTAATTAGAAACATTTCTTCTTAATTGTTTTTTCTTGCAATGGCTTAATGAAATACAAGCAGTTTGCATTTTCAAAGAACAAAGGCGAAGTACTTGCTGTGAAAAGTGTTATTTGAATTAAGTATTTTCAGATTTTACTTTAACTGAAATCACCCCATGTGGAATTACAGTAAAAATGTAGCAAGATGCTGACTTACAGAATCTTCTGCCTTCGTCTCAGCAGTAAAGTGTGGAGCTTTCTGTGATCATGAAGTTCCATCTTTAAAACCTGATTAGTCTTGGGTTTCTCTCTAAATGTTTTTTAAGGAACAGAGATTATAAAAAGCTTAGAATACTAAAAGTCTTTAATATGTTTTCATCTTTGTTATGACATGCAGTACTTTAGCAAGCCTGGCTTACTATAAATTGAATTTAATGTTGAAACTGTTTCTGCAAAATAGATTTTGTGTCTTAAAAGGGTGGTATGAAAAAATAAAACATTGACTAAAATGTGATTTTACTTTTAATGTTTTTCCCTTTTAAAAATAGGAGTTGAGATGTTTGAATCAAATGCTGTAATTGAAATTTGAAAATAATGCTATCTAAAGATAATACTTAAATCTCTGTGGCCCTTGGTCCAGGCAACTGATAGGAATCTTTACAATAGGTAGCTATAGGCCTGACTTCTTAAATCCAGCACTAGTAACTTCTAAATGGGTGGGCTGTTCAAATTTTGTATAGAAGGATGGTTTTTTCTTGAATCTACAAGGAAATATATCCAAGCTCTGATTTGTCAGCTGAATTTGGTCTAGACTATTATTGCAGAATTGAAAGACTCTTTGCAATATTAAGTATAGTGTAAAATTGCTTTTTGTTTTAAGTGGGTCAGAGCCATAGCCAAGATGCCAGGCAGATGCATGATCCTTGATCTAATAGGAGAAAAAATTAATCTTACTGGATCTTCAGGATACTTCAGCATGCTGAGCAGATTGCTAATATGTATGCATGCTCTTCAATAATTCAGTTTTCATGAATTATAAAGTTATATTTCTCTATTAAATCTGACTGAGTTTCATGCTGCTCCTGGGATTTTCTAGCATCACATCAAACATGTAGGCAGAATTGTCCTAACAGCCTCTCTCGCTCGTTCTCTCTGAGATTATTTCCTGCCATCTTTCAGTCACAGTTTTTCTGCTGTACTGGGCCTTTAGTTTCTGACCATCCCAGTTATTTGGACCAGAGTGCAACAAAAAATCTGAGCAGGACAGGCTGGGTCCTCACCACATTAACAACCCTTCCAGAGGGATGAGCAATTGATTCCTGCTCTTTTGAGGAAGGGCAAAGGCTGTGCTTCTGCTCACATGCTTTTTTGTTTTCCGAAGAAATAAAAGGCAGAAATTCAGAACTGATTTCATCTCTTGGACCCTGGAGCATCCAAGAGAATGCCAGATGCTGTGCTGAGATGATCTGCTAAATCTTTTTGCAAGGACTCACTGAAGTGTGAGAAAAAGGGTCAGTGGCACTTACACACTTCGTCTGAGTCCTCTGCAGATGTTTTTCAAGGGAGCAAGAGCGAGGGTGTGATGGTATTGCTATGGAAACAGAGCTTAATAAATATTATTTATTTATGCATGCATATATTTAAACCCTGACTTCGCTTAATGGCATATCTTGGAAGTCACCCAGTTTCAGGAGACTTTGTTCATTGGAAATTGGGGAATGTGAAATGCTGGCTGCTGGTCAGCAACTCCAAGGTCCAGCAGTTCTGCAGAAAACACTGACAAAGTGCAGGCTGAAAGTATAGTGTTTGTTGTTGTAGCAGAATATATAGGTTAAATTGAACCCCTTTTGTATTTAGAGTTGCGTCAGTGTTATTAGACATCAGGAAAGGGCAGAACTGCAGCTTTCCAGTGATGCTGGAACTGAGTAACTGTTAAAATAGTTAGGATTGGTGGTAATAAGGCCTTTTTTAACATTGTCCTGTGAAGGATTCAGAAGAGTGCTGGAGGCAAGGCATTCTCATGCCAGTCCAGCGTCCTGGAGGGAGAGAGGATTGTTGAAGCAAACATATTCTACTGCATCTTGCAGTCAGTAAAGAAAGCTGGAATTCTGTTTTATTTGTTGAATATTAAATGCAGGGCTTGTCATTAATGCATGCCTAAAAAAGGTTGTGGAAAACTACTCAGAACTTTATAAAATATGAAGTGGGATAAGGAAGGAGCTGGAAGTTCCAGATGACATTGTCATCTGGTTTTCAAGGTATGCTGCTCTTGGTCTCAGCTTCGATTGCATATATTCAGAAGCTTAAAAAAAAGTCTTGCAGTAAGAAGGGCAGTGTGGAGAGGTGTTTTAGTATTGCAACATCCATAGTTTTTGGATGGAGTTTTATTTTTTTTTTTTTGGCAGTCCTCTGGTGTATCTGATCGTTTCTTTGCATTCCTGGAATGCTGAATGTAAATCACACCATTCTCTAACTGGGGCTTGCTGTTTGGTGTTATTTAAACTGCCATGTTTACCATGCTACAGCTGGGCATTAAGAGACATACAGGAACTCTACCTGAATTTGCCTTGTTGTGGCTTCCCATGCAGGCACAGGACATTTTCCCGCCCCCTTGCTCCATGCAATGTGTCATGCCAGGACATGGATGCTAGGATGGCCTGTGCATCACTGCCTCTGCAATTCTTGGGGTCTCTGTTAGCATCATTGCATGGTTTTTGCTTTTTTTCAAGCATTGTCTAAAATTAGGAGGATTTTTTCAGGCCATTGAGCCTGAAACTTTACACTTAGACATCTTTTACTCAATTGTTTGGCTGAAAATCTCCATTAGGGTAGTTCTACTTTCAGGCTGTGCAGCTAATACTTCCAACAGTCGTAATGAAACACTCTTCTGCAAACTTGATATTGTATACCATGGAGGAATGTATGTCTCTTTTATAACTTCTGTAATTTATAAAATGAAGAATGCTTGATGTAAAGCAGGACATCTTTGTAACTGTGAGGGTCTTTTTTCTTTAATCTTTTTTGTAGACTATGGGTAATGCATTACTTCTACAAGAGATAGTAATTTCATACCTGAGGTACTTGAACAGCATAGTTTTAATCTGTGTAGCATCAGCCTTTTGTCGTATATAACCTAAGAAAAATTGTAAAAGGCTGATGCTACAAGAAATGCTTAATTATCGGCCTTTGATAATGCTGGCGTTGGAAAGGGGGCATTCAGCATGCCTTTATTAGCTGTTCTGTCTAACTCTACTACAGTATTACTGTCTCCTAAAGACCGTGAATTAATACATGAGATTCACATTTTTTAATGCAGTTTTCATTGCAATACTCTTGGGTTTTATGTCGGTCAGAATTCAGGTAGGTTTGTCCTGGATCTTTTTTTTTTTTGCTCTTTTGGATTGTTAAGAGTGATATAAGAGAAGGGGCTAACATTTTATAAAAGTGTATTGTAGGTGAAAATGAATTTTCCTTGTAAGAGGCTATTGTTTTTGTTCTATAGCACTATTTTCCTTGTAGATGACCTATTACTGTTTAAAAGATTCAATTATCTATGTTCAATGTTTAACTATAGTGTTCTTACAATAGAGACCTTTGTTCTCCAGAAAAATAAAGCCTAGTCAGTAGTTTGCTAAAGTACTTTGCAAAAATAGCTTTTTGATTTCAATGCCAGTCTTCAATATCTAATGAATGAAAATGATTGAATTCACAGAAGCTAATCTCCCAACAAGCAACAATTAGCAGAGAGAAATATGGCACTGAGCAATGCTGCTTATCTTGCCTGCCTCTAAACATTGAAGTGTGTGGCAATAAGTGTGACTTCTCAGATATTCAGGAATAAATTATGGTTCTCAGTGTGCAAAAATTAGGTGGTTAATTTTCCTACCATAGTTTTAAATACTGCTGAATTGCTGAGCAGTTCACTTACACTCCTCCCTTTTTCTAGGCTTTATATGCAAATTTTAAATGTCAGCTCTCTATGCATTGATGTTTTGCATTAGAAGAGAGTGGAAAAGAAACCAAGCTCTAAACAGTGGATTTTGAATTTCTTTTTGAGCTGTCTGATTATATATTTTTGTTGAAGTCTGTGTGAGCCAGAGTTTTGCAATTTTTTGTGGACTGCATTTAAATCTTCTGAGGTCAAGTTTTTTCAGTTAGGGCAGGCAGACTTCCATGGAACATAGTGGGAGTTTTGTAGGATAACTGCTGTGAGAGTTTCCTCCACTGGGCGCAGTTAGGTGTTGTTTTGAGTGATAAATTTGTTCCAGTTATGTACTCTTTGTCTTTGCAGTGTTCTGGATGATGAGGGGAGCAGCCTGCGTCAGCAGAAGCTTGACAGACAGGTAAGATTTTGGAGGAGGACCTTCTTGCTCCCTAAATTTTGAATCCTGGAGTAATGAAAACTCTGATAAGTGATAGAAAATTGCATCCTCTGTTTGGGGGATGCAGAAGAGAGATCTGTGGAGGCTGAAGTTAACACACAAGTCTAACTTTGATTAAAATTTGTCTTCTGACTCTGGTTTGAGTGATTCCCACTGCCTTGGGCTTGTTATAAGCTTTTGTATAATGTATTTGTTACCCCACTGATGGAGCAGTCACACCAGCCAACAGAGGTTAACCACAAAGTTTTGATTGAGTGGATTTAGCTCTCGTGGCTGTAACCAAGTGGCACTGTGTGCTGTGTTGTCTATTTTCTGACTGCATTCCTACATGACTTGTACAAGGGAGTCAGAACATCTGAGAGAATTGTGTCATCAAGCTTTAATGGGAGTTGAGGTTTTCTGGTTTTACGTTGATTTCTGTGGTCCCCTTCTCAAAAAATGTTGCCATTTTTATAGTTAAGTCTTGTGAGTTTAATTTTATCCTTTTCTATTGACACTATTTCATCAGCCTGCATCTCATTTTCAAATTCAAGTACTATTTATGCCATAATCCTGTACTTTCTTCTGATTATGGTGGAGTCATGTTGAGGTGTTAACGCAACTTAGTGAGCTGAAAGAGTTCAATCTCCATTTTTATTCCTCAGTTTTATTGCATCTCCTTCCTAGAAGCTAAAATATCACTGTACAGAAGCAAGGAAAAGGTAAGGTAATAAATAAGTAAAATTAACAGTTCAGTTCTCTGAAGTTGTGGAAGAGGGCTCAAATAAGGTCCCTATGGTACCACTGGAGGCCAAAGGTTTTTGTTTTCAGCAGGTCTTGCTGAGAAATTTAAGTATTTCATTAAAAAGTTCATCTATTATAGCTGTTAAATTAGGCTCATGTCCAGTATTATCACTCGATTCTAGTTTGCAATTACCTGCTTTTAATTTACAGAAACTGAAATTGGCATCTCTCCCTCATGCCCTTGCTTACCCTCCCATTGCTTCATAGCCAGCATTCTCACACTGTTGTTTTCCCAAGGGTTATTTCCAAGCACGCTCTGACAGCTGGTGGGCTGCTCAGAAAGATGTATTTTAATTATTTGCTGTTTTCAGCAGAAGGTGTTTCAGCAGTGGGTTGGTTGTGGTTTTTTGGAAAGGTTTCCTGTAAAACCCAACATCCCAATCTCCCTCCTGCCAACTGCCGCCACTGTGGAGCCGGGGAAGGGGTAAAGCTGACCATTGTTTTCCATGCTGGGTTGCTGCTGTTTGGAGTGCAGAAACAGATGCTTTGCTCTGTCTTTTCTCCAGAGAGCACTGCTGGAACAGAAGCAGAAAAAGAAGCGCCAGGAGCCACTGATGGTTCAGTCCAACGTGGACAGCCGGGCAAGGACGCGCAGGACGAAGCATTCGGAGGAGCAGGCCCCACTGGTCGAATCCTATCTCAACAGCAACAGCAGCACCATATATCATGGTACAGAATGCCACCTCCTGCAGGTGTATTTGCTGAGAGTCCCAGTGTGCTGCTCATTTTATGCTCAGGAGAACAAAGGCTCTTGTTTTGCATGTTTTAGTAAATCATTGATATCCTTCACTTGCGTTTGGAGATAAAACCATCAGAATTTGCAATTGTAGCCTAATGGGAGAGAGCAAGGTACCTAGGTGCCATTTCAGTGCTGAACTGGGAAAGAGACAGCTTGTCCCTTCTGCTGTGACTATTCTTCAGACTTGGTTCCTACTAAGTAAAGCTGATGGGTTCCACTCTGAAAATCCCTCTGCATGTAATTTTACTTAAACCTGACAGAGGTAATGATAAATTTGATACCTATTAACTAAGTTCAGCTAGGACTGACTATAGTAATTTCACAGATTCTGTGTTTCTGCAAAGTCCATTAAAACGGGTAGAGAAGAACATTTCAAACTTGTACAATGTCTCCACGTTCTCATTAAAGATTACAGGATCCAGTAGGGATAGAGTCACTTCATGTGTCACACCCACAGGGGAAAAAATTTGAATGCCATTTCTTTTCAAAGACCTTAATAATCAGAAATAAATCCAAAGGAAATCAGGCATTATTTAGTTCTGTCCTCATATTGCCCATGCTTTTTTGCGCTCTAAAGATGGTATGGTGCATACTTTTCCTCAGCATTTCCTAAGGGGTAGCTTGGGTAATCCTTGTCCAAAATTTGATTCTTGTAGATATCATTCCAGGTTGCTAACACTTCCAAGACATATAGAGAGTAGTAATTTTCCAGTTTTCTTGTTTTGCAGATCATTAAATTAAATGTAATTCATAAGCTTCAATAGCAAAAGGCTTCCTTCCCTGACTAGTTTGTGGGACAAGAGCTGAATCAATATCTACTGATAGTGATTGGGAATGCAGTTGGCAGCTTTCTAGTTGGGAATGGTGTTAGCTGGCAGGGTACATAGGTTTTGAGATTTACACATTCAATTTTAAGATGCCTTTGTGACTCTAACTCTGTTAAAAAAAACCCCAGACAACCAGTATCCTACTCTTCTACAAACAAAAACTTAACTCAGCTTTCAGTTCAAGTTTCTGTCAGTTTTACTCCATGTGCTGTACTTTTTGTCTCCCTGTTGTTTTATTTTTACTTGGTGGTCTTATTTTTCCCCAAGAACAAGGTGGGTATTTAGTAGACTAACAAATTCTGCTCTGAGAAGAGCAGGTTTCAGTGTCTTTCCTCCTGGACAGCAATTGGTGGAAATTTTTAGCTGATTATAGCTACAGAATTTACTGTTAGAATCTGGAAATTGCATTGTTTAAATGTTGAGGTTTTGGTAATAATGGGCCTTTTAAATCTTGTTTCTGTAAGCAAAAACAATACCATAAGTGGTTTCAGATGGAGAATTATTTTTTCAACTTAGTATTGTTTTAATTATTTTTTTCTAATAAATATTTTTTACATGATTAATATTTCTTTTACTGACTTCTTCTCAGGGTCTGGGATGTAATTTTTTAACATTAAATTGAATTGCTTTCTAGTCTAAACCAAAAAATTTGATTTAGCACAAACATTAGTTTGTTTATTTTTTAATCAGACAAAATAGAAATTTTCTTTTTCCTCTTACACTCAAGAGTTTATCAAAGGTACAGAGCTGTTCTAAGAAATAATATCATAGAGAGAAGGTGGTGTTTACTAAATCCCTTATATTGTCAGTTGATCAGGGTTTTAATTTTCACAAATCAGAGAAAAGGACATTATCATCCCATAATTGGTAACAAATTTCATATATGCATTAACTGAGCTAAATTGTACACCAATTTGCACCAGAGTGGACTTTCCCACTATAAGTGAGATTAACTGTGCTCTCAAGGTAAAAGTGACCCTTCCTGTTATATTATACTACACCATTCATTGGAACACTTGGGATTTATTCTCCCTAAATCAGTTTGTTCTAAATTTGTCTCTCAAATCCTTTTAATGTTTCACAAGGTTTCAGAGAAGCAAAGAAATATAATGTTTCTCATACTCAAGAAGACATTTGTTAATCCTTTGGGACAGCTCTCCTTGTAATAAACCATGCAGTTTGCAAGAGCCAGCTTAGAAGAATTTAATTACCTAGCAGGGTGTTTTATTGCCTTGTAAAATCCCTTGTTAGGCACATTGCTTTTGAAAATATTACAAGAACTCCCGAAATGTCCTTTTTTGGTGTGGCCTTCTCTGGGAATGTGCTTAATGTCTTCAGTTCCAGTTTGCAGGGTACATTTTGGGGTTTGATGACCATTTTTAACTGTGGCATTGAGCTTTAGGGCTGGTGGGGTTTTTTTTCCCCTTCAATGAAAACATTTCTCTGTGGCAGTGTCGGATGCATGAGACAGCTGGGCTCTTTCTAAAGAACTATTCTGCTCTTTTCCGTTCATTTGTTGCTGTTATGGGCATGCTGATTCCAAGTGTAGAATGGCTCTTTGATGGCACTTGATGCTCTGCTGAATGAACTGCACTGCTTGGATGAGCATGTTTGTGAAATCAATTCCTGTGCTAGCAAACGCTACAGAAAGAAGACTTCTTTCCACCTATCATCCTGCTCTACTGTCTCTTTTAGCTTGTACTGATTCTGTGTAGCACAAAAGTACTTGTTGATTTCAACAAATAATTGGGTGCCTGTGTGGAGCTATCTCTATGGTACTTTGAGCAAAGTAGGTCAGAGATAGCATCTCAGCAATTCTCAGATGCTGGGCTTTCTGTGCTGGGAAATTCTCCTTCATGCACTGCCACTGCTTATTCTGATGCCATTATCTGTGCTGGGAAATTCTCCTCCATACACTGCCATTGCTTATTCTGAGGCCATTAACTGTGCTGCAATGGTTCCCTCATGGGCAACTCTACTCTGTAGTAAAAACGCATTTAATTCCAGAATAATCATCAGAGCTTGGAGCAGAAAGTCAGTCATTCTTCTTCTGGAATAGAACATCAGCCTGGTGAGATACTTGTGGGTAGATAGAGTAGAACACCGTATTTTGCTAATTAATTTGCCAGAAATGCCTAATTTTTTTCTTAGATTACTTCAAGGCAGAGAAATGACATTGGTAGGACAAAATGGTATTTATGTTCCCTGCCAAGGGTTGCTAGCAATTCCTCTGGGTACCATGAGACTTTTAAGGAGATGGGTGCTCTTCCGGTGAAGAAGTGGCTTTGCAGAATCCACCATGCACAGGTCTCCACACAGAAGATTTCTTCTCATTTGTCCCATATTTCACCTATAGATAAAAGTCTTCAGATACTGTAGCTTGTAAATGACTTGCATGTAGTGTATCTTTTTTAAACCCTTTTGTTGTTGACATAATGCCTAATGGACTAATAACAACAAAAAGTTACCTGCAGGAACTGAGATGAATTAAGTTAAAAAGACCGACATGAGATAAAAACTCCTTGGCACTCAGGTCTGTAAGGGGTTAGCTTGAGCTGGAGTCCCAGCCAGTGGTAACACAGTCATCAGCATCTGTAGATCAGGGAGGTAGAGTTACATTTATCTGCCTGCCCTTTCAAGGAATGGGTGTCCTTCCACTAACTTCCATTATGTAGTTCCATGGCTCTAGCTGGTACTATTTACATTAAAGCCTCTCTCTTAGTACCAAACACAGCTCAATTGCTATCTCTTCATTATAAAAAGCCACATAAGAACCAATAACATTGTTTTTTATTGTTATTAAATTTAAATTCTAAATAAAAGAAAACAAAGGCATTCATTCACCAGAAGAAATTGAATCCTTTGTAGGAGAGGTCACTTACATTGTCTTCTCGTGTGTTCTCGTTTATTTTCAATTAATTGTCCTTCATAAGGACATATGCTACCTGTTTGTTTATAGCTTCTTTAGAATTTAATTTGCTGTTCTGTAATATGTCGCCATTACAACTGCTTGCTTGTTTTCATGTATTTCTATTCAACTTATTTTGTGAAGTTTGTTGAAAATCTGAACAAACATTTTAGTCTGATTTGACATTGCAAAATTTTGCTACAAATACAGTTCATTTCAATCTGGATTGCAAATACTGAGCATTCCTGGAGCCAAATAGCATGCAGAGATACACTAATTACTGCAACAATTTAATTACATTATTTAATTACATTTAATGCAGATGCTGAAAGCCCATTTTTACAGAGATTTTACTTCTGTGAAAATGGTGAATTTCCACTAGGGAGTGATTTTTCTTTTCACAGCACTGAGGAAGGCAGAGATTTGAATGAGTGCCAGATATGCTTTCATTAATATTGCCGTACTTTGTTGCAGCTGTGGAGTTTTTATATAAGACTTGAAATTAAAAATGTTTTCAATTAGATACTCTCAGAGTAATTTTCATTGCAACTTCCAATTTAGTGATTTAGATTAACCATGTGTAAAAAGGCAATGACTTTTTTACTTTTGTCCTCTGACATTTGGCAGCACATCTAGATGTAATGGTTGTGTGGTGCGTTAAACACACCTCTGATGACAATTCTTAGCTTTGGATTGTTAAATTTGATGTGTCATTCTGCTCTTTACCATGAATGATGAGAGAGAGTTTTCTGAGTATCCTTAGCTGACAGCTTTAAAAGATGAATCAATTAACTATTAATTTAAAAAATTATATATTTTCCTGTTCATCAGAAGAGTGTTTCTCCATTCCTGTTTTCCACTGACCTTGGAATGAGTAGGTATTATTTTATTTTCTGAAGAGAGCAAGGAATGTTCTTTGCAAAGGGCTGTTATACTGAGAGATCAGGCAGCACTCCAAACATCATGTGGGCAAAATACTTAATTTCCAATAAGCAGATATTCTGAAATCTTTATTTCAGCTGCAGTCTCTTCACTTTAATCTTTAAAGCATCTTTTTGATTTGTCAGCAGTCCTTACTGCACCAGTGCACTTCCAAAATAAACAAACTAACCCAGCAGCAAGGAGCAGAGTGCAGTAGGTAGCAAGTGTTCCACAGGTCTTTTCGTGGTTCTTGGTGTTGAACGATTTGAGAGGA